CTGCATTCCTTGGAATGTGTATACTGTATATGTGACTCTCAGCTACTTCCACACCAAATTTTGTCTCAATATCTTTAATACTGATGTAATTATTGCCATTTTTGTGTTTTTCTAAGGTGACTTTGCTGTAGCGGCCATCTTTCAAACCATAGATTTAAATTCAATGATTTATTTTCGGAGAGGTTTATTRTAACTTGTCCAGCTGTTCATGACGTATTTTGGTAACATCTGGACAAACATTATCGTCCATTCCTATTGTTTGCTTTCCAGGTTTTAAACGATTTTAAGCTTTATTTTGATTAGTTTATGGTAAATATTGTCATCTTTGTGGTAGAATAACCACTATGTTCAGKCCCACCTGACTTGAATGGCAGCCTGATGCAGGATTTCTCCGTCACAGCTCCAGCTGCTGAAGGCCGTTGTCTTTGGGCGCTCGCTGTGGTCCTCGGGTGGCGAGAGCTCGCGGTGTCGAGGCTGGAAACGGAAMTTTCTCACCCGGTGGACCTCCACAAACGAGTGGTCGAACTAAAGGAAGGAGGAAGAGGGATCGATGGAAGCGTTTGTGAATGACTTTCATATTACTTTATTAGGTGAAGTCTTAAAAATGACTGAACAACTGCATAGCTCTTCACATTGCATTAAATGCAACACTCGTTAGGTTAGAAAGTTAAAAATTGGCGATCCATGGCTGCTTTGCAAGCTAACGTTTGGAACAAATCTGTTAGTTTTCAATGTATATTGGGGATTACTATCAGCTACCATCACACCAAATTTTAGCTCAGTATCTGTAAAAATGACTGAATTAAAACATTTTTGTGTTTGCTAAGGTTGATTAGCTGTGGTGGCCATTTTGAATTTGGTTGACTCCATAGGTTTTTCAGTTCTTGATGTAAAATGATTACTTTCTGAGAGTTTAATAAAGATTTATCCACTGGTTCATGACATATTTGACTCACAACATCAAATAGTGGAAATTAACTCCATTATAACAAATGCTGGCCACGCAATATTATCGCGTTACCTAAAAATATGCTCCAAACATCTTAAATTTTGTGCAGAATAATGACATTAATCAAGTATTTCTTTTGTTATTACAAATTTGGAAT